AGGATTACTATAGTTGAATAGGTAAAAGAGTACATGCTCGAGACACGAGAGCGCTTAGAGACAGAAACGTCTGACGCGGTCAGAAAAGATTTCACAATATAGTCCCTAAACTTGTGACAAATTTGTCCATATAAAAAAGCTTCCATAGATCCACGAGAAATTATAGAGTTTGTCTAAAGAAGAAGGGAAGATTTCCCTCGTTTTTTTCTTTTTTTTTTCGTTTAGTTACTTTGTTTTTCTTCTTTTAACTTGAAACACTACCACGAAGACGGAGAAATTCTGAAGTTTTTAAAACGCTCCAGTAACATCTTACACCGTTGAAAAAGATGCTAAAACGTTTGCACGCGTGGACCATTTATTATTCCTATCTGTTCTTTTCTTTTGTTTTCTGTTTTTTTTTTTTTGGTTTGTTTGTTTGTTTCTTTTTTGTTTTCGTTTAAATAACGCCTCCCAACTCGACACGCGCTAAAAACTCGACTAAGAATTGAAATTGATTTAATTGGTACGAGACGGACGGGCTCGTCGAGTTGCGAGGACGAATCCGAATGATTTATTGTTCCCAGCTGAGACTCTTCGGCGCAGTGTTCTGCGATCTGAGGTTGTTTTTTTCATATTTCCTTCTCTACCTCTCTCTCTCTCTCTCTCTCTCTGTGTGACAACAAAATCACTATTTCTCTGGCCGTATTGAATATATTTCGCATGATTTCCTCGAATGTTCACGCAGTTTTGATTAACGTAACTGGACATTGTCGATTATTCAGAGGAGGTTCTGGATTAAATGACAAACTGTGTTTAAAAGAGATCAGCTCTTTGGCAAAGTACTTTCGTAATTAAATACATACTATATCTGTCTAAAAAAGAAGTAATAAAGAAAAAACACAGCAACGATAAGTTGTACAATGAAATAAAAAAGGATATTCACGAGGTATCACAGGGATCGCGTTCGCGAAAATACGATAGTCTGTTGCAAAAAAATTCGAACGTAACGTGGATTATTTAGAGATGAGGATTGTCGAGAACACACGAAGCTTTTCGGTACGAGTAACCAGCGGAACGACTTTTACAGAAATACACAGCATGGTTGCGTTCGAATTTTTCTTCCTGTCGCCTGTAAAAATGATACCCTTAAACAATAAAGACTAGTCGCGTAAACATCTCTCGATATGAACGTCTAGAGTCCTCTGGTTCGTCGTTACATCGCTGTCGATCGTTCCTCGTGAGCCTTCTTCACGATCGCCAGTTTCGAGTGCGGGTCCGCCGCCGGAAGTCCGGTGTAAGGTGGCTCTCTGGTACCGTGCAACATCAGTGTCCATTCTCTGAGCCAACCTTTCTGAGGAGTCTGAGTATTGAAGCTCACCTGGAACAACAAAATTTCCTTTTCGTAATCGATGCTCTAAAGATATTTACTTGGATTAACCCTCTAAGTTCGAGGTGTTTTAAACTTGTCGTAGAATTTTTTTGAGGGTTAAAATAGAGTATTTTATACTTCGAGTTGGGAAGATGGATTTCTGGTATGGGACTCTGGAGGATTCTGTGACTCTTGGACTCTGGAAAACTCTGGGACTCTGGTATGGGTCTCTGGAAGATTCTGGAACTTTGGGACTCTGGGACTTAGGGACTTTGGAGGACTCTGGAACTTTGGGACTTTGAAACTCTTGGACTATGGGACTCTGGAGACCTCTGAAACTTTGGGACTCTGAAACTCTGGGACTTTGGAGGACTCTGGGACTCTGGAACTTTGGGACTCTGAGACTTTGAGACGCTGGAGGACTTTGGGACTCTGGAACTTTGGGACTCTGGGACTTGGGGACTTTGGAGGACTCTGGAACTTTGGGACTCTGAAACTTTTGGACTATGGGACTCTGGAGAACTCTGAAACTTTGGGACTCTGAAACTGTGGGACTCTGGAGGACTCTGGGACTCTGGAACTTTGGGACTCTGAGACTTTGAGACTCTGGAGGACTTTGGGACTCTGGAGGACTCTGGGACTCTGGAACTTTGGGACTCTGAGACTTTGAGACTCTGGAGGACTTTGGGACTCTGGAGAACTCTGGGACCCTGGAGGACTCTGTGACTCTGAGTCCCACTCGGACTCAGAGGGTTAATTAAATTTCTTCTCGCTACCTCCAGCAACCAGGTACCCTGAGGATATTCTCCCCAGGTGTGAGTCGTCATGAATGGCCATTTGGTGAATCCGTCTCTATGATCGTCGTCTTTCACCCTTCGACTGAGGATCATCGACCTGTAAAATCGTAAATCACGGATGGAATCGATATTAAATTTCACCGGGACAATTTCCACGAAACTAGAGACATTTCTCCACCTACCTTGTACCCATGGGAGATGTAAGGAACAACTCTAGATAACCTCGACGCGTGGCGTTCACGGAAATGACTGCCTGCACGTGTTCCAGATAGTTGACGGCGTACTCAGTACCAGCACAGGCATCGGTCTTTATTTTCAAAAGGATCGATCGATCGCTCGTCACTTCCCTAAAAAGGAAATTGACACGCGTTCAAGAACGTGGGAAAATGCTCTTAAGGGAAAAGGTTATCGCAAGAAACGACAGCGTGGGTAATATGAGCGGAAAAGGCGAGAATAGAAGGCCGGAAGTTCTCGTGTGAAACAAAGTAGACATAGGGTATGTGTTGTATGCGACAAGAGGGAGGTGAATCGATACCTCTGGTCATCTACGAATCATAATCGTGTGGGCATTTACCCCCGGTGTATACATGCTTTTTGACTTTCCAACGAGGAAGTGGGAAATATTTCCCTCCCTCTCCCTCAACAACGACGGACTTATGAAAGGGATCGATAGCAGCGTGAAAACACTCACTGAGTTTCAAGCACAGAACCAGCCTCGCAATGATACCGTGGCGGCACAGTTTTCCATTTTTTAGCCAGAGCGACCATTGCACCGGCGTCCAGCACACCATAGCCGAAAAGATGGTTGAATTCGAGGCCAACGCCGTTCATAGTCCAGTGGAATCTTCCTTTAGCGTCGAATAACGAGTTCCGTTTCGATGTTAACACTGTCAGATGTTGAATGTCTCGCCAGGTTAATTGTGGACTGAAATTAGAATTGACAATTCGAGAGACAGCTCATTAGAAATTCTCTCTCTCTCTCTGATCTTCCACGAGCACATAGATATTATCGAGTTATCGATAACTTCATTGGAAACGAAGCTGGATTTACTTTGCGTTAGATTCAAGTGATTTAGTGAATTAACAGCAGGGAGATTAATTAGATTTCCAACAATGGCTCGGGATAATGCACTCAAAGCAGCTTTGTCATTTATAATGACGTTTGTAGTGGATCCCGGTGGGAGTTGAGGAAAGGAAGATTTTCGGTGCATTTGTCTGGGAATCAATATTTACCGGTATCAGTGGACGATCAAAGGGACTGGAACAAGAAAACACGAGGACTAGAGAGCACGGGAATATCAAAGAGACGGTATCGGGCATTAAACCACGACCTTTTAATGCTGCATTTCTGGGTCACGTTTCACCGACTGGAGTTCGACGGAACCCCATTAGCGCGGTGCTTTTGCTCGCCATAAGCTGATGCTCCGTTCGTTAATTTTTGCAATTCTCAGCAAACGGTTTACTCGTAGAGAAACTACCTTTGAATCGGTCAAATTTATCCTCGGTGGTAATCATAAATTTGCAACTCGACTCGCGTTATTCTCTCGTGAAAGATTTTTCAGTGGAAGGAGAGTATAGGAGAGGATAGGAGAGTAATTTTTGTAGAAACTCGAGCAATTAAATAGGATCTTCTCGTGGTTTGGAAGGCTGAAATTAAACACGAGACAGATCTGCGGAGCGTCATCGTTCGTTATTAAATGGAACAGTAAAAGTGCGTGGCTGCATCGTGTTTCAAGCAGCGGGCTTTTTACCACCGTTTCCGGAATGATCCTCCCTGATGCGGCTGCGAAATTAAAGCGAGATTTATGTCCTTTATAAAGCGTCGCGCCCCGCTCTGCCCACGTATGCACGGCCTCGCAGACCTCGAAATAATATCGAGGCGTAAATGGCTGCTATAATTCAAACTGAAATGAACGTCCTAAATTGTAGTTTGTCTAGGAGAGGAGGGATGGGAAATCCTGCAAGCTTCCGTTGTCACCTGAACAATTCGAGTTCACGTGGACTTTCACAGTTTTATCGACTTTTGTTGCAACGTTTCTCGTTTTTTATCTTGCTTTTGTCACCCTATTTCCCTCTTTTTCACCGTAGTATCCGCTTTTTCCTTCACATTTTTCCATTTTCTACAGTGGTTCTTTTTTTCCTTTTTTTTTTACCAGACACCATTTTCTTTTTCATTTCTTATTCGTAATTCCTCGCTTCTGTGATTTTCTGATTTTTGTGATGAGTTTTTTCTTAATTTTCTTTTGTTCTATCGGGAGCGGAGACGCGAACTCGAGACCTTAGGAATGGCAGTCAGACGAGAGAACAACTTGACCATCGGACACTCTTCAACAAATCTTCCTAATTTCAGTATTTCTACCACACACGTGTACGTACTTTATAGATAGCTTTTTAAACAAGGTATATTGATGCTTTCAAGTTATTTCGTACAACTTCGGTTATTTTTCAAGATAAAATTAAACGCGATATTAATTTCGAACAATTTCGTCGATTCATTTTCCACATAATTTCCGCTGCAAATATTCTGTCAGTTTATTCCCGAGATTCTGGAATTAACTTACTGTACCAATTATACGATAAAATGAGGAAATACGTAACACGCTGGTAAATCCGCAAGAATATCAAATTAAAAAGGGAACACGTGGGCAGAATATAAACGAACATTATCACGAATAATTTCCTGTATTGATTATCAGCAGAAAAATATCCTTGACGTATTAATGCCTGATATTTGCATCGATGACGGAAGAAATTGCTAATTATCGCTACAGTTTTATTCACGACACTTTGCGAGGAAATTCATTTGCTCGTCATTTCGACAGATCGTCGCGTATTCGTAACATTTATCTCCTTAATCCCGAATAAAAACGTTTGCACAATTGAATAAATTAATTGATAGAATTCCTACTTGAAATTCTCTACCTCTACACTCTTGAAAATTAATTCGGCAACAATTAACAACGTTGAACGATCAATTTTCAAACGTTCGATAAAATGGAAAAATGATCGACGAGAGGAGAAACTTTCACAAGCTTTTCCATTCTGGCCGTATACGTAGCTAGGTAACTCGATATTTTTTTAACAGCGAATGGATCGAGCTTGCGCTACGTAAAAGCTGCAACTGTTGAATTGCATCTGGTTGTTCGAAAAATACGAAACTCGGCGATTGTACGATCGAATCTAACCCTTTCGCTGCGGCAGATTATCGGCAAAATCTTTTGTTTTGGCGTGAAAAAAGAATTCATCATTTCTAAATTTCTATCGTTAAATTAAAGTGAGAGTACTGGAAGGATTGAATTTTAAGCAAAATTTAAAGATTGAATTTTAAGCAAAATGTAAGCAAAATTTAAGCACTGAAATGTAAGCAAAATTTAAGGACTGAATTTTAAGCAAAATTTAAGGATTTAGTTAAGACCGAAGTGTACCAAAAGCCACCAACAGCAGTGCGACAAAATTTTCAAGGCGCCAAACAGCAGTGAAAGGGTTAACTCGATCTGCAAACTACCACACATCCACCCAACTTGCAAACTTCTTCACGAATGTGTATCGTCGGTAAAAGAGTGCTCTACCAAAGAAGGGAAGATCAAAGAGTCGATGGAGAAAACGTATGAAAATTTCTTTGCATACTCACTTCGCTTCTAGAGCAAGAGCAAACACTCCTGCAGCTTCCGGTGCGGCTGCCGACGTGCCGCTGTGCGTCTTTGTGCATTTCCCATAGAGATCAGTAGTGGCCTAAAAGAGAGAAAATAAAAATCGTCGCAGAAACACGATTGCAAATGAGCATCACTCTGCATGCTGAAATTAGCATGAACTCTGGCGCAGGCTCGTTACAAGAATGCGCCTTATTTGCATTTTAATGATTGTGCACCGCGTTTTAATTGCGATTACGCTTTCAAAAAAACCTCCTACGTTTACCACGTACACTCTACCTCTGTGTATAAGTAGCGGTACATTTCAAACGTGTCATTTTTAAATATCCTCCGTCTGTTTCTCTTCACTCGTTATTCCTAATTAACTCTAGCTTTTTTCAAGCGGCAGGAAAACCGGTAAATTGGGGATCGTAAGGTGAGATACAGGAGGAACAACGTTAACAAAGAAAGGAGCGGATGGAAAAAGAGAGAATCGATTGGAGAGATTGAAAGCAGCAATTCCCAAAGGTGGAATTAAACGCTCCCATTACAAACACTGTAATTTCCTCGAGCGCATCCACGCGTGTCCCGCGGATATCGGGAAAGTTTCCACGTTAAAAGTTCGCATCCGGTCGCGATAAAACCGCGACAAACGTGCTTCTCGTAATCGATGTTCTCTCTTCTTCTCGATCGAGGAAAAATATCGGTAGATAGAATTGTCTATCAGGGTGGAGAGTATTCGTGGGGAACGAAGACGACAGAGATATACATACTTTGTCCAGTCTGGTGGAGAATATCGTTTAAATGCAATGGAAGTTTACCTGTGTTTTTCTGAATTTCAAAAATTCAGGCAGAATTGTAAATATTATACTGTCTCGCAACGTAAATTTAAGTAAATTAGGTTGAACTGCACAAAAAAAAAACAAACAGACGCAGCATAACGTGTAGTTATAATTGTTATGACATGTAAATAGAACGATAAATTTAGGGTAAATATAGGAAACGTATAATATAATTTATTTCATGGTATTCTAACAAGCAAACGTTGAATAAATTCCTAATTCGTATTAAAAAAATTATTTAACACAATAATTTCAGCTTTATTATGATTATTCTTGATAAATGACCACAGGTCAACTTGATTTTCAATCGTTATAGTCTTTAAATTCAGTGTGAATAGAGAAAATGTGGCATATAATTCATTTCACGATATTATAACAAACAAACGTGGAATACATTTTTCATTCGTGTAGAAAGAATTATTTAACACGATAAATTTAGCTGTACTATGGTTATATTTAATCTACGACCACAGGTCAACCTGATTTTTAATCCCTACGAAATTAATTTAACCACGAGTAAATAACGAGAACGCTAAAACCTATGTTTCCATTGAAGAATATTGTAAAAACGTATAAATTGTTATATGCAATGTTATAACAAATTGTCGGAAGTATAAATTTATAACAAAATTGTGAAAATTGATAAATTATACCGTGTTACGATATCGGAAATCTCCCGCGAAAATCTCCCGCGAAAATTTCCCGCCTGACCTAACCGACGATTTTGCTAATGACTTTGGGGAGAGGGTACCGCAGGCATATAAGGACCCCCCGATGTCCCGCGAATTTATTCACCCTTTATACTGGGCCATAGACACTTCGCGGCGTATTTTGACCTGAAGGTTCTGAGATGTGAATAGAGTGGTCGGGGGCTACTAGCTAGCCTAGGTCCACCCTGTACACACTCAGCCTTCTTGTAACACTTGTATACATTAGAATCAATTAGAATTTCTATTACTAATTATTAAACAAATTTTAACAATTACCGGCACTCGCTAGGCACGTAATATCAGACTTTAAATACTCGACTTCGAACTTCGGTTTAGTCATAATTCTATTAATGTTATAATAACGTATAATTTATTAATTTTCACAATTTTATTATTAATTTATACTTCCAAAAATTTGTTAAAACATTACATATTATTATTTATACATTTTTGCAAGTTTCTTTGACAAATAAGTACGTTTCAACGATCTTATTACTTTCTCGTTGTGAAATCAAGTTCGGAGGATTAAAAATCAGGTTGACCCTTGGTCGTAAATTTAAAATAGCCATAGTGAAGGTGAAATTATTATTTTAAATAAATGTTTCTATACGAATTAAGAATCTATTCAACGTTTGTTTGTTGCAATACCATGAAATAAATTGTATTATATATTTTCTCAGTTTAGACTGAATTTAAAGTTCGTAAGGATTAGAAATCAGGTTGACCTGTGGTCGTAGATTAAAAATAGCCATAGTGAAGGTAAAATTATTACGTTAAATAATTGTTTTTATACGAATTAAATATTGATTCAACGTTTATTTGTTGCAATACCGTGAAATAAATTGTATTATATATTTTCTCAGTTTAGACTGAATTTAAAGTTCGTAAGGATTAGAAATCAGGTTGACCCTTGGTCGTAAATTTAAAATAGCCATAGTGAAGGTAAAATTATTACGTTAAATAATTGTTTTTATACGAATTAAATATTGATTCAACGTTTATTTGTTGCAATACCGTGAAATAAATTGTATTATATATTTTTTCTGTTTACACTAAATTTAAAGTTCTGTTTACATGTTATAACAATTAGAATGTAGACGTTTTTTACGTGGAGGTAGGCCGACTCTATGTGATAAACAATTGGCAACCAAACGGTGGCTCGCTAAAGCGATATATTATGAAATTAAATTAATCACTCAATAAGTATTAACATTAGATTGTTTCCTCGATATGGCCATGGTGGTCATCAGTGACTGGAGTGCCTCAAATGTTTAGAATAATTAAAATAAAATAAATGTTGTCAACTAAAAATTTTGAACGTCATAGCTAACTAGACATTATTTTCCTATCATCCGACAGCAACCTGTAAATCTGGCGCGACAGTGAACGTGTTAATAAGTAAATGTTGTTCATATTACATCGTGTTTGATATCATTTTCATCAGAAAAATATGAGCAACGTGTTAAAAAAAAATTGCAGATAAAAAAAAGTAAAATTAAAGAAATGATATTTTTCTATTATGATTTGTCGAGCCGTGTAATCTCGTAAAGGAAACCGACTGGTATAGCGTTACACGCTTCACTGATGGGCACAGCAGTGACGCAGACCTAGGCGTAGGACCATCTATACTGTCACTTGTAGAATCGTCGTGTTATCTCTGTAACTAGCGGAATAGATACTTAATAAAACCCTATTCCTACATAATTTCTAAGGATTCCCTATATCTGCGTGGGAAGTATCCTTTGCATCTGGCTAAGACTTTTGTTTCATCAAACAAAATCTTGTGCCCTGTTTCCAGGTGATGTTCCGCGATTGCGGATTGTATGTACCCTAGTCTAGTGCACATTTCGTTACCGCTATTCTGAGAGGAAAATAAACACCGCCACTCGTATATAAACCATATTTATTTGCCATATGAGTTATCAGCCATTTACATTTACAACGGTGTTTAAATAATGTGACTTTATGCTTTCGATTCGACGAGGGACACCCGACGAGCATCGTCGAACGATCCTTCCTCTAAATTTTCTCTTTCTCATGGTCCTCTCGCTACCAACAGGATCCTCCAACGGAATTTTCTCCGTTGGAATTTTTAAAGAGGAGATCGCGACCAGCCGCGTCGAAATGTCCCTCAAATTGCTTAAGTACTGCTTAAGAATATCACAGATCGCGATTCTTGCGTAAACGCACTAAAATTTGTAACAACCTTCGCTAGCCGTCGGTTCGCGACGATGAAATTTCCGCCGGTTCGCGAATTTAGATCCATTTTCCTCGCGGGCACGATTGGTTGCTCTCGCGTGTTACGCGAACCACAGGCGCCTTCTTTCGACGACCAAATAGGGGACAATTTGCGAGGCGTTGCGACGAACAGCCCACCAAAAATCCGCCAAAGTACCAAGCGAGAACTGTTCCGTTTGAAGTATTTTGTGCTAGGAGTATAAGTTCCGAAAATATCCTGGAGAGATACTTCAAGTTTGCTAGAAATTTTCTCGGAGAATCGTAAGATTCGGCGCACGGTGAATAAGAACCTCTCTTATCGCTACAATACGGTGCTAATTGAAAAAGGATATCGTCCGAAAGCATGTTGAGAAAAAACTCGAAAGGATAAGTGTGTTCGTGTTGGAATAAACGGTGAGCTGCTCGTCGGGATCGGCCGGAGTGAACTGAAACCCGATTTTCCATCGAGAACCGAGCGAAACGGTGTCACGAATAAAAGCGAGAAGCGTCAATCGAAGTATTGTTTCTTTTTCTTCGTGCTCGTACCGTGTAAGAACAGAGCGAAATTACAGGTGAATAGAGAAGCGCGCGCTAACCAGCCTGGTCTCTTTCTAAAGCCTCGGCGTAATCAGCGTAAAGTTTCAGCCGTCTCTCCTCAATTTCCTTCGAAAATCGAATTAAGCTTGGCACGTCGCATTAATCCTTCGTGTCTCTTTACGCTGTTGTCCCGAGGCAACTAAACTAAACTGAAAAAGGATCGTTTTTACTGGGGGAGGGGAAACTGGGAACGCGTTATTTACAGAGTTTACAGACTAACAAGAGCGAAGACAATCGGTGCGCGAGAGAAAACTAAATGATCCGTTTCGTTAAGGATGTTTCGCAGTTCGTCAATCGGTTTGCACTAATTAGGTAGCCTGATTGACCCTCCTAAACCGTTCTTCTTCGATACTTTCCGATAGGAACGATCCTAGAGATCGATTCGACGGCCTCTTCTGTACGGTTTCTAGGTTGAAAAGACGGCGAATCGGAGAGATTTACTCGTCCAATTTTCCTAACGTTACACTCTCGTATCGATCGCGCATACTTCATTTTTTTTTGTTTTCTTCTTTTATACCCATTAACAGGTGTGCCACGATGTGATTGTTCGTGTCTATGCCGAGAGTAACTCGTTCCAAAGACGCTACTGAACAATTTGTCGATCGCTAATTCCGTCGGAGCAAGCTTACCGATACATTCTACCGATTCGTCGCAAACTAAACGGTCGAAGCGCCTTTTCTCTTTAAAGTTTACTTGTTCTGCGCGCGTGTGTGTAGGTGTGTGTATCTTTATTTTTCCATTTTTTTGTTCTTTTCATTTGTCCTCGTATATCACACTCTTCCTATTCTTCCCCCTCGCTCGTTCGTTCGTTTGTTCCTTTTTTTTTTGTTAGTTTATTGCTTTCACTAGAGTATATC